GAACCTTGCCCGGCCATCCGACGTAGATGTTTGTAAACCGTCCCCGATGGTCCACCAGTGCTTGCAGCACCATTGAAAAGTAGCCCTTTCTATTGATGTACTGGCTGGCCTGGTGGTCCGGTCCCAGGATAGGGATGTGAGTCCCATCTATAGCCCCACCGCAGTTTGGGAATCCCATCGCGGCAAAGCCATCTATGATGACCTGCGCGTTTCCCAGGGTCACTACCTTTGGGAGCAGTACCTTGACGATTGCCTTGGCTACTTGCATGACAATAACCCCCACGGTAGATTTGCCCACACCAAAGTGGTTCGCGACTGACCGGTAGCTGTCCGGCGTTGCAAGCTTCCAGAGGGCTATGGCCACTCGCTTCTGGACAGTGAGGGCTGCTCGCATGCGGGTGTCCTTGCGCTTCAGGGCAGGGGACAGCAACTCACAAAGTTCGAGGAAAGTCCCCTTCCGCATGCGAAAGTTTCGCAGCCACTGGGATTCATCCCAGACCTGAAGCACTATACGGTCCCACCAGTCCGTGCTTGTTTCCCGGGCCCAGAATCGCCGTTCAACAAAATCCACATGCCCCATTGCCAACGTCATGTCCTGGGCGCTGGGGCTCGTGGTTTCTGACAGCTCTGTGCCACTCTCCGACTTCAGGCTCTCACGGCGGTGCCGTAGCCTCCTCGCCCGATTTCTCTGCATCTGCCTCAGGGAAAGGTGTATGATAAGCTGCGAGGTGTTGAGAACGGCCACAAGTGCAGCGATGGTCGCAGCGTGATCCATGATCGCAGTGCTGTGGCGTCCGCGCTGTCACTGACCAGAAAAGTGCGCGAACTGATTTCCCGCCGGCGCTTTCATGGAGGGAGGGAGGGCGTTAGTGACGGACGGATGACGACAAATTTTTTTTACCCAGAAGGCATTGGCGGCTCGACCCAGAATTCCGATGGGCAGCGGGGACTGCGGGAACTGTGGGATAGCTGCCCACAGTGCACCGCTTCCAATATCGACGCTCGCCCCGTTAGTGTGGACTCACAAAGTCGAATTACTGTCCTTAGTGTGTCCTTAGTGTGGACACACACGTTCGACTTTGCAATATCGATTCCACATATTCGATTTAAGTAAAATCGAATTACCCTCGTAGTGTAGACATACCCAAAGAAAGGATTCTTGAATAAATAGCCTGAGTTTAAGCTGATTCAGGGCAGCCTTCATTCTGATCCAGCAAAGGGACAAGGCCTCTGGCTCATGGAGGGTCCCACTCCTTAGGGCAGGGTTGGAAGGACTGATATCAACCAGAGCCCTTGTGGCGATGGGGGGAGGGAGGAGGTGATCTCTGGCAAGCTTATTAGCGTGCATGTAGGTTCTTTTCATGTTTTTAATGTTTGCTGTGTAATACTTTTACCGTAAGAATAAATGTGCTTGTTTAGAAAGAGCTGTGTGGTAATTTATAACTGCGGGAAGTTACACGGTTGTCAATCTCAGAGGCAGAAGCAAAACAGGCCTTCTTAGTTAGACTGTCATTTGCTGGAAATAACACAATGAAGTCCGGGAACTGTTCAGCCTGGAAATACCCCAGTCAGGAGGGAGACAGAGGCAGGGCTCCACCCAAGAAAGGCAACAGCTATGGGAGGGTTAGGGGTGGAAGCCCCACATCCTTTCAGAAAGGAAAAAATGAAATAAACACACTATCATTTTTTTGCAACATCAACTTGATGCAGCTACATTTTACTCCAGCTCTTCTTGCATGGCTGCCAAAGAGAGATGCCCAGGGCAAAAAATGGTCAGATTAAAGTGACTGCACGCAGTGGAATATTGCAGCTGATTCTCCAGCTGTCTTTACAAGGTGTGGCTATGCCTATGGTATCTGCACATTCAAAAGAGCCAGAAACGAGCATTTGCCACATGTTTGTAGCTTCCATAGTTCAGAGTCAGTTAGAGGATGGTTGGCTTTTTCCATACAAAAATCCTTATTTTTAATCAATATGCAAGGTGACTTGTCTAACCAAGAGACCCCTTCTTAGTGGTGCTCTCGTGCCCTAGGATTTATAGAGCTGAAGTAAAGAACCTGGGATCCCTCAGGGTCTAGTAAAGCTCTCCCTGCTCCTGCCATCAATGGAAAAATCTACTGGGGTCAAGTCTTCAGCCTCAGATCCATTTTCTTTTCAGGGCTTCTCAAAACCTTTCACTCCACAACATTTTTCTTTCAGAGGGCAGAAAATCCCTGTGCTCTAATGGAGCCCCTGCTGCTTGGTAAACATTCAGATGGGGAAACTGTATCTCTGTTGCAATCACTCTTTCCTGTGCTCCAGGAAGCGTGTGTATTTGTCTTTCTTTCGTGAAGCATGAGTTACGGTAATTAGAAACTACGGGCCCTAGTCTGTGTGGTGGGAATGGCCTGACTCAGTTGAAAATATTGCACATAAGAATCTCCCCATTCCCATTACTTGTCCTTTCTTTGCAGGCCATTGAGAATTACAGTAATGTGGAAGAGGATTCGGGTGCTGGTGTGTGTGTCTGGGAGGGGCCTCCCCCATGCAAGCTTTTGAAAGGGTATTTACACAGGCTGGAGGTATGTGTGTAATATTTTCACAGACCCTTGGGACTGTTTGGGGCTGCTCCTTGCCTTACAAGCCTGATTAACCTAATGAAAAAGCCCCCTTGTGGGCAACTGGCTGGCTCTGGGGATCAGGAGTGGACCACGGAGTATTTCCCTAGTATGATCCTGTCTGCCTCAGGTCAACAGTAACCAAAAGCTGCTGCTGTTTGGTGGCGCCCTCTGTGAAATCATTTGATGGATCTCAGTACAGTTACCAGCAAGCAAATGTCCAAAACCAAGGGCCTCCTGGCTGCGAGCCCTAGCACAGAATGTTTCCAGGGCTGTTTTCTAAGTTCTTAGGCAGGAAGGAGAGGCTGTATGTATGGGGAAAGGTTGTCTTACTGCTGCTCACGTTGTACCTTTTCCATAGAGAACTCCAGTAAATACCCCAGGGCTGCCTGTCCGGCTCATCTCCCCAGCACTAATGCTCCTTTGCCCAATCCCTGAACCTACTGGCTACAGTCCTGCACAGATGGAGAAAGTGAGGCATAGGCTGTTTTGAATACAGCAGTTTCCCTTCAGGCTAATCAGCTTTCCTGTAACTCACTCCCAGCCGAGTTAATGGGAGCCATGTGCGGGCACAGCCATAGCCCAATGGACCTGGTCCAACTAATTCTAAACAAAGCCATCGTTTCTCTCCAGATTCCACCAGTCCGGGTGACACCACTTTGAGAGTGTCACGCAAGAGAGTGGGGTGGTTTTCCCCCCACAAGTTAGCAATTGTAACTTGGAAAGAACAATCTGCTTTTGATTGGATAGAAAGGGAGAGCTTTTCTGAAGCTATTTGCATCTCTGGTGTCAACAACCGCTCAGACTTGCAGCCAGGGCTTAAAGCGGCATGAAAAGAATGTGTGGGGTTGGCGGCTCTCTCATCATCTGCAAGCAGCAGTGCTTAAAGTGCATCCCCAGGTTGGTTTCAGTTTTTGGTTGGGTTTGTGACCCCCTTGAGGCACCCACCCCCCCACACACTTTCAGCACCGAGTGTAGCTGAGCTGTGATAGATTGTGACCTCCTTAGGTCTCATAAACTAAGCAGGGTGGGGCCAGCACTGTCCTTGGATGAGAGCCCCGTAAAGACAAGGAGAAGTTGCAGGGAGTCACCTGCCTCCCCCTCTGGGTTATAGAAGTATTTGTTTAGGATGAATTAATAAAGGTCAGATGAATCTTGGAGCCTGGATTAGGCAGTGATTTTGAGCCCAGACTATCTGCTTTTTGTTGATCCTCACCTTGGACATTCCCAGACCAGTGCTCTTTGCCATGCCCTGAAACGCTTTCCAGGTCTGCTCAAACCAAATCTAAGTCTGTCCCTCATGGCACTGCAGCGCACTACTGCTCAGCCACCCCCTTGCTAGGTAGCTTGTCTAAGATCACCTGTTGCCGCCAATGGAAATAGCCAACCGGTTCCGTTCAAGACTTGGCTCAAAGGGTTGGCATTGGCTGCCTACTTTCTGTTGGAATCCCAGTTCCAAATAATGAATTTTGGGGTTCTCTGGCCATGCTGAAATATTTTTTTTAAACATTCGTTTGAGTCGACCTGAAAAAAAAATATTTTGCTGAATTTTTGGTGAATCAAAAAGTAAAAGAAAATTCATTTTGGGTCAAATGAAATATTTAGTTCGACAGGAAACTGTGTTTTCTCTAGATTTTGAGTTTTGTTGTTTTTGTTTTGTTTTTATATTTCTGTATTTTTAAAGTAAATTGAAGGACATTTTGAAATGAAAAGTTATTAAAACTTTTCATTTTGAAAGTATTCCAGGGTTGGAATAAGTCAAAACAGCAGATATTTTGTTTTTTTCGGTCAAAACAATTCAGTGAAACCAACACAAATTTGTGACATTTTTGGTATCACCAAATCTGTATTTTTTTCACCAAAAACAATTTTGGCCAAAAAATTTTTGCCCAGCTCTAGCTGTGAACTCCATCACTTGAGACATTTAAGCCTGGACTGGACACAGCATGGGAAACTGTACTCTCGAGAGCAGCCTGGATTGGCTTAGGGGTCTGGAGGAATGGGATAGCTGCTGCTTGTATTGTGACACTTCCTTCGGGGACCCAGGGTTTTCAGGCACCTTGCCCACTGCCTGCCCTCAGCGTGAGGAAGTCTTGTCTGTGCCCGCAATGTGAAACCACTAGCCTCCGGCAGCAGAAGCACTGCCTTCCTGCCCTTCGTAGGCCTCACTGTCTCGGTACAGATTACCGTTAGGCACATACCTCCCCCTGAGTTCTCGGAATGGCCTCTGGCTCGCCCAGCCCATGTTCCACTGAACAGTCACAGAACTCTCAGAGCTGCTACTCCCTAAAGGAAAAACACACACCAGCTTGCAAGATTCAGCTGAGGATCACCACTCAACTCAACACACTTCAATATATACACAGAGTGAAAACAGGAATAAGTTTATTATCAAAACAGAGATTCAAGGACAGCAAGTGAGGATATTGCAAAGCAGTGGTTACATATCAAACAAAATCATAACGTGCTTTCTAGAGCCGACACTCACCTAACCAGGCATTCAGCTATATCCTACGAGATAGCTTACCCCACGTCCTTTTCTCAGGATTTTCAACCAGTTTAGCTGAGATCCCTTCTCATCAAATCAATCCTGCTGGCAGTCCTCACAGACTGAAGGAATAACTGGAGGTTCATCTGCACCCCCGATATAGTTTCAAAAGTTCATTGCCTTATGCCTAAACAAGATAACCCCTGCTGGCTTATTTTTTCCTGAAGCCCCTGCAATCAATTGATTAGAATTTGGCTCAGACTGTAAATGGGTGTCCTTTGGGAACCACACAATGCTCAGTTTGCACATGATGAGCCAGAGTGACATATGCATCTCTGTCTTGCATGACAGAGGTATGTGGATCACCTGGTGGCCTGCCTTAACTCACAGTCCTAGGGAACATAATTTTTAGTATAGATCCATAACTATTCACATGTTTTCCATACATCTATCTTGCAATGATTATGACGACCAGTGTGACACAGGCTTTCATTAGAGACCTCACATGATCCCTTTTGACGAACCCAGGAGATCCCTCTACACCTATGTACCCTGGGGCCATCTGCCAGTTGGCGTCAAGGGGTCCTTGGGTCACATGTCCTATCTCTCAATTCTATATTCTTTGATTAATGCACATGCCAAAGCAAAATCATGCGCAGGTTTGGCTCTGAGAAGCCCCCACCCCAGCTCCCTGTGCTCCACGCCCCCTACAACTCCCTGCCCCTCACAGAGCCAAAATACAAGTTTGCCCCAGGTGCCTTTTTCCCTAAGGCCAGCCCTGCCCTTTCCCTTGCACCAAGGCTCTTTCCTGCTCATTTTCAGCAGGACTAAGCAGGCCGCTTGCACGCAACCAGACTCAGCACAGCCTCAAAATCTGAAAATGTGCTTTGGGAACGGTTTGGAGTCACCTCAACACACTGTACATCATACCCGGCCTCTCTCAGGGCTTCCTCCACCGACTCCCGCTCCAGGTAGAGGCAGGAGAACCTGCGTTGGCCTACCATGTAGTAGGTTTCTTTCAGGACTATCACCATCACCAAGTGGCCTCCTGGCTTTAACAGAGAACTGATGTTCTTCAGTGCTGCACGATAGCTGTTCAGGTCTTTGCAGGCAGCTTCCAAGCACAGTGTGGAGAGCAGGCAGTCGGCCTGGGGCAGAGACACAGGGGCCAAGATGTTGGATTTGGACACATCGCATTTCAGAACCTGCTTGACTTTCTTTCTCAACTTCTCTTCCTTCTCAGCCCACTTTTCCCTGCAAGAAATGTTATATTGTGTACTATTGCATGATTTGCAGTCTGTCCATTAGATCTCAGCAAGGGGATGTTCAATGGATTTGAAAGGCAGCATATTTAAAACTAATAAGAGGGGACACTTTTTCCATACAGCACACAATTAACCAGTGGAACTCATTGTCACAAGACACCGCTGAGGCCAAGAATTAGACAAAAGGATCTGATATTTACACGGATAATAGCCAGTTACCTTACAGTAGGGATTAATCATAACTGAGCCCTGAAGGGCTATAAACCCTCCTGCTTCAGGGCATAAGCGAACCCCTGACTAGCTGGAGTTAGGAGGAAACGTTCCCTGGGTGCTAGGCATTTCACAATTGTCAAACTGCAGAGCAATGCAGCAGTAGCAAGAAAGGATATTGGTGTGACTCTCCATTCCTACTGATCCAGGAGCATGCGGAGCTTTGGGCAGCTCAGCATTTTCTCTTTGCATCAACACCTTCTGCGCTTCTGATCTATGCCGGGAAGGAGGAGGCTCCAGTGTTTAGCATGCTAGCCTAGAACCCCTGAGACCTGCATTCAGTTCTGTGCTCTGCCACAGATCCTTCTGCGTGGCTTTGAATAAGTCGCCATCGCTCTGTGCCTCAGTTCCCTCTCTGGATAATGGGGGTAATGTCACAAGGGTGTTGAGAGTCAATGCATTAATAAAAATAGAGAGTGTCTCAGACACTATGGCAATTGGGGCTGTATGAGTTCCCAGATAAATAGAGTCTCATGCCTCTAATCTGCAGCCCTTCTTCCCCCAACCCTCCATCATTCCAGTCCTGGGCTGCATCCTTCAACAGCTCTGCCTGAACAGCCCCCCTGCTGTTCCAGTCCTGGGCTCTCCCCACCCCTCCAGCTTTGCCAATGCACCTCTATCCAGACCTGCATTCCCTGACCCTTGCTAGGCCAGTCCTGCTTCCCCCTACACACAGATACACGGCTCTGCTGATGCCCCTCAATCCTAACCTACAGCACTCCTTGCTCTTCCAGCCTGGCACCTCTCCTGAACTGAGACTGCCACTGGTGTGGATTTCAATTAAAATCAAGTAGCTACAACTATTCACTGCCCTCTGAAAATATAAGGGCTGATGTACTTGGAAATATTTATGTGGATGTTTAGCTCTGGAGAGAGATTAGATAGCAAGTCTCTGCACCACAAAGCCCCACATCGGGCTGAAACACCATCGCTGCCATACACAGAGACAGCTGCTCTATCTAGATACAACGGTTGTTTTATTATTGATCAGTTTTGTTAACTCATTCACACCATGGCCATTTGCAGACCTGTGTAAAGACACGAGCCCTGTTCCAAGGACCTTGCTCTCCAGACTAACTAGAACTTTTTATTCTAGACAGGTTT